CCCCAAGAGGAGAGGATGAGAAGGGAGCTATAGGATGTGTCCTATAGATAGGGCCTAGAGGTCTGTCCTGATGCCTCCAGACTGCAGCAAAGGTTTGGAAATGGCCTCTTCCGAGGGCCGGCTTCCTGTGTGAGGAGCTGTGCAGGGTGCAGGCCCAGCTTCAACCCAACAACCACTTCCTCTTCTCTTCTGCTTCCATCGGCCCTTTTAAGGTAACAACTTGGGGCCTATCACCCCTTCCTGTTTCATCCCCTGAAGAGTCCAGTAGTGAACTGGGGCTGAAGAGCAGGAGGCTCAGAGGGGAAGAAAAGGTTTTGCCTCATCTCCACCTGTGAGCCAGGGCTTACACTCAAGGAGTCCCCAAAGTCCTCACCAGACCTGGAGTCCTCACTCCCAAGAACACTAGAGCGAGCAGCCTTATCCTGAGCAGGAAACCCCAAGCCAAGACTTGGGAGACCCATCCCCTTTGTTTTGTCCCCAAAGAGCTTAAGTAGCAAATGACCCTGTCCCGTTTTACAGATATCAACACAGAACCCCAGGAAAGCTGGGTCACAGTCACCTACTCAGGACTCCACAGTCTCAGTGGACAGCAGAATTCTCAGGGGCATTTCTATTCCAGAAGCTTACCTTGCCTAGAGGTAGCACCAGGAAGGCCCCTCCCCCACTGGCCTCACAGATCAGAGCCATGAACTTGGGGTTGACGGCGCAGAAGCCACTGTCCCAAGTGGTTTGTGAGACGCGCACATCCTCATAGCACTGGTCCGCCTTGGCTGGCTGTCCAAACACGTGGCGGAATTTGCTGGAGCGAACCACCTGCCGGCTCATCCTGAAGGACACAGATTGAAAACTTTTCTTTGGGTCAATTCCAGCCGTATGTTGTCATTCCCAGAGCAACCCTTGTCCTGGGTTTGAGGATTCCAGCATCATGTCTAAGACACCCTGACAAACTATTCTCCATGACTGACAGCTTGCTTATCTCCCTGCTTACTCTCCCCAGTTTTTCTTCTGTCAAACTCCCAGGCACTTCAAGCCACACCCTCAATCCTGCACCATCAGCCCCTAATAGCCTGATATGGTGTGGTTCCAAGGGTCTGGTTCTTGACTGAGACACAGTGCCTCCTTCCCAGTGGTCCAGACACCCTGGAGGTGGGTTCCTTTCTATTGAGCTCTTCCAGGTCCTATGTCCCTCACACCCACACAGAGCTTCCTAAAGGCAGGGCAGGGGTTCTCCCTGGCCTTCCAGCTCAGGGATGGCACACAGATGGATGTTCACCAGCCTGCCCAGGAAGGGATACGATAGCAGGATGGCTTCCCCAGGTTTCTGGCTACAAGCAGCAGCAATGGCTTGGGTCCCAGCATCTCCCCAGATCTCTGCTCCTAACCTCCGCTCAGAAAAAGCAGATGTTTCTTCTGAGCTGTCACTGCTTCCATTAAGCTACACTAAGGAGAGGCCCACGCTGACTTCCCTGAGGTCCACTAAGATGGTTACCCACTGTGGCTAGGCAGCCAGCCAGCGAAGCCCAGGGGCTACCTCTATCCTTGTGTTCCAGAGCTCCATCCTGTGCCCAATCCCTCCACCTTCCTGCTCAGTGAAGGAACCTCGGCTGCTCTGTGAACGGCATCTTGCCCTTAGCCTCTCTCTGTCCACCTCCCCAGCCTCACCCATATGCTCTGCCTTAATGGGGAGCCCCTTCTTGCTGGGACTCCAGTCCTTAAGAACCCTGGTATCCCTAAGGAGGCTCCTAGGTCTAAAAAAAAAAAAAAAAAAAAAAGCAGGTGAAGTGCCTGAGTGAAGTCTCCAAGATAAGAAGGGGACATAAGCCCCCAGTGAGCAATCTGCATTTGGGAGAAGGAAAGCCCAATCCAGAGGTAGGGGCGGAAGATGTGCCCCACCCGGCCTCCTCCCCCACCCAGGTACCAAGCCCGGAAACCACGGAAAGGGGAACTTAGTCTTGTTTTGCACTCAACCCCTTCCTGTCTCAAAGCTCAGTGCAGCTACTTGGTTCACCCCACCCTGCCCCCCCCCCAGAAGCTCCCTCCCGGGAGCATAGGTTCTGAGCCCAACTACAGCCGCTCCCAGGAGCCCACCTCCATCTTGGTCACGATGGTCCTTCGCCCTCACCTTGGAGAACTCTGGGAGCTACTTGCCCCTTCGCACTCGCACCTAGTCCTCGGTCTTTCTGGCGGGGCTCACGAACTGGCTTTCCATCCCCAGCCTGGTAGCCCTGACAGCTCGCCCGCCCCCACAATCCCACAGTCCTGCCCCCACACTGGCGCTGGCCCCACAGGTGGCCCATGGCAGCGTTGCCCGGCCCTTGTGACCAGCCCTCCCCCGGCACCCAGCCTCACCTGCTGCGGAGAGCTGAGCGTGACCCCTCCCAAGTAGAGGAGGAAGGAGAGAAGGATGGAGGAGCCGCAGGCTGGCCGCCGAGGATGCTCTGTCAAGACAATGAATGAGCAGCGGCTGTGCGCCGGCCTCCTCTGGGTGGCAGCGCCCCTTTGGGCGGAGCTCATGGAGGCCCGGCCCTTCGCTCCAGGGCGGCAAGGCTGGGACCAGCTCCCGGTGCTGTCAGCTCCAACCCCCGAACAGATGCTGACGCGAATCAACTCTTCTTTTAATGTCAAAACGCAAAAATATCCCGTTCCTTCATCCCTCCCCCAGCCGCCAGCAGCCTCCTCGAGGTCCTTTCCCTGGCACCGGAGAAAGCTCCAAAAGGGCTGCCTGCAATCAGCGTGAGAGCCTCCTCTGTGACAGGAGGGACCTCTTTTGTCGTTGCCCCAGATGGATTTCTGGGAGGCCTGGGGGGGGGCATTTGTTTCTAGGGCTTCAGCGGGGACACCTTTGCCCCCTGCTTCACGGGGTTGAGGCCCGGAAGAAGAAAATAACTGGACATTATGGAGCACCAGTTTTGTGCTGGGGCTGAGGAGGCAAGCGAGTAGTGCTCCCGCCTCTAGAGAGCTGTGAGAAGAGGGAGCCGGTCTGCCACAGTTTAAAGGCCACTGAGTACACACAGAAGTCTGATATCACACGCAGGACGGCTATGGTCTATTCTAGCCCCTTAGGAGGTGGTGAGTTGTCACGTTTAGCAAGGGCAGGGCAAGAAAGGCCTTTGCTGGAACCACCGTTGTGACTCTTGGCTGTCACTCATTTGAGTGACCTCGGGCAGGTTAATCGAATCTCAGCCCCAATTTCCCCTCTATAACAGTCCTCCCTGCCTCAGTATGGAGACGATCACTCCAAGGATAGCTGGCTGCACATCTACAGCGTGCCAGGTGCTAATTAGTGTTGGGTCTTACAGCCAGATATGGTGACCTACACCTGTAAATCCATTACTGGGGAGGCAGAGGCAGAAGCATCACAGTGAACCCAAGGCCTGCCTGGTCCACATGTAATTTCCAGGCCAGGGCTACATAGTGAGACCCTGTTTCAAAAACCCAAAAGATGTTGGCTCTTTTCCTTGTTGTCATGTACCAAAGCTTTGGGCTATCCCGGGAGGAAGAGGAAACAGCAGCTATGGCTTTGGAGAAGGGCAGGGAGCTGAGGCGCAGTGTCAGCAAAGCTCGAGGACACAGGTGTGCTGATAGTCATCTGTAGTTTGAGTCCTCAGGAAGCTGAGGCAGGAGGCCAGCCTGGGCTACATAGCAAGACCTCATCAGAAGAAACTGTTCAAGGTAGAAGTAGTTTGAAGGAACCGAAGGGGCCTGGCTCCAGTTGTACTGATTATCTGTGTGATCTCAGCCCAGAGGCCCCGCCTCTCCGAACCTCAGTTTCCGTAGGAGAGGAACAAGTGAAGGAGTCCCAGGAGTCCCGCCCACCTCACAGCTAACCCGGCTCAAACGAAGGTGTGGCCTGAAGGGGTCTGTGGTTACTCAGCACAGAGTCGGATTGTGCCTGAGGCTCTGTGACTGTGGCCAGGGACTCTACAGTCTCCAGCTAAAGTGAGAGCAGCAGTGAGGCTGAGAATGGAGCTCAGTTGGCAGAACGTTTGCCCAGCGTGCACAAAGACATGAGCTCCAGTGTCACATCAGCTAGGTGCCGGGCTAGAGAGACAGTGGTTAAGAGCACTCGCTGTTCTTGCAACAACCAGGGTTCCCAACATTCACATGGTGGCTTGCCACCGACTGTAGGCATGCATGCGATGCACGTACATACAAGCAAGTAAAACATTACACGTATCGCCTTAGTTACTGTTCTAGTGCCGTGAAGAGACACCAGGACAAGGCTTACAGAAGAAAGAATTCAACTAGGAACTTGCTTATGGCTTTCGAGGGTGAGTCCATGATCATCATGGTGGAACGCAGAAAGGCATGGTTCTGGAACAGCGGCTGAGAGCTTTACATTTTGATCCACAGTGAGAGACAAAGAGAGAAAGAGAGAGAGAGAGACAGAGAGACAGAGAGACAGAGAGAGACAGAGAGACAGAGAGAGAGAGACAGAGAGAGAGAGACAGAGAGAGACA